AAGTCTTCTCCTTGTCACATATTCATATAATATTGACTATAAATTCTGTCTACATCAGGTGTACCACAATTCAGTTTCTTTGTTCTCCACACAATGCAATTTAATTTCCCCCCCCCCACAGCTTTTATATTCTTGGGGGTCCCATCTAACAGAAGCACATGGAAACCACTTGGGACCCAGCAGGCTGGAGGGAATCACCTCGGGATGTGCAGGGGTTTGGCTGCTGAGGTGTTTTGTTTCCTGCTGTAATTCAGTGGTTACACTTCCCTGTTGTTGTGCATTCCTGAGGCCTCTGTGGTGTAATTGATTTCAAGGTCACTTCCTAGAAAACCCTGCCAAGGAGAAACAGGAGTAGCTGTTAGAAAGATGCTGCCTGCTGGCCATGGCCTGTGGGGCCTGTAGGAACAGCAGTGACACAGCTCTCAGAGAGGAGGGCAGGAACACTCTGGCACTGGCAGGATCTCTGGAGCTGGGAGTGTGCAGGACCTGCAGAGGGTCCCTGCTCTGCAGGGGAAGGGGCTGAGCACATGATGTACGGGGGGTGTAGAGGAGGGTAATTTCCTCTTTTCTCTATGGCTGTGAGGCTTTAGAATGTCACTTTTGGGGCTTGACACTTGTGGTTTTGTATCATTTGTTCTTGTTTGGCATCTGGCTGACCTTTGGAGTACTCCTCTCACAGGAGATGTGGGGTTTGTACTGGTTACTGAGTATTTAGCCAACAGTTTAGAACATTTCCAAGCATGGCTTCCTGTGTTGTGCTCAAGCTCTCACAACCTTTTTTCACTTTTCAGTGTTGTGTTGGTCCCATAATCCATTTGGGGATGGATATTTACCAGACCAGAAAAAATCACTTGGATGCATTTTCCAGGAGGTCACAGGGCAAAAGCTTGGTCAGGGCACTCTGCTGATTTCACAGTCAGCCATAGCACTGTTAATGATCACTCCTTGTAATTAATCATTTGTCAGCTTCAGTGGCACTGAGGGGTCTTTGTTGGTATGCAGATGTCACTATAAGCAGTTGGAAATATCCTTACCCTAGTTTGGGCTCCCTTCAGTGTGAAAGGAAAATGTGACACCATTGAACCTTTGAGATCTTTGACTTTCCTGCATATTTTAACTTTTCAGCTAGAAATGGTTTTGCTTTTTTTTTTTTTTTCGAATTTAATTTCGTCTTTGTTGAATTTTTTCATTCCAGTGAATGGTATCTAAATGCTTCTTTTTTCTTTATATTTAGATGCACCCAAAATAATTGGTTATAGTTCTAAGCAAAATATATTGACGAGTTCAAACAGATTCCAGGTCCCTCTGTCTTCACTGAGCCCTCTTGTGAAATTTAATGTGTGATTTCACTTTCAGGATTGCAGAGATTTAAATGACTCTTTGAACTGTTGGTCACAGTCCACTACAACAAAAGCACTGATTTTTGCAACAATTCTTTTGTCAGAAATCTGGGAAAAAACAACTTGATTTAGGGAAGGACGCTGGTGGGCCTGAGCCAGCACCTCTTCTGAAATGGTTGGTTTGGGTATGAGGTGTTATCCCAGTGGGGTTTAGAGGAAGGGAGGGAGTGGCTTCATGGCACCATTAATTTTGTTATGCATATATATATTTGAAATACATATCTGATCTCCTGTTGGAGACTTTAGTCATCCCAATGTCTTTCTGAGGTGCAGACCCACAGTAGAGCTTTTAACACCCAGTGCTGGCACAACACTGCTGTTGTTCCTTCTGGGAAGGGAGAGGCACAGAAGGGAGAGACAAATCCTGGGTCCTGTATCCTGCTCAGTGCAGATTTCCTGCAGGAAGGAGCTGGAAGAGCAAGTGCAGACAGCCACAGCATTAAAACAATTAATACTGAATACTCTGTGCCTTTAATTTCTGTGGGATGTTCTGTTGTCCACGTTGGACTGCAAAATCCCAGAGGAGGAGACATAACAGCCTTGTGATGGCTCGAAAAAAATTAAGGATTTCTCTGTCTTTATAACCTCCCTCAGTTTCCCTGTTGGAGCAGCAATGGGCTGTTGCACAGAGATGCTGATTTTGATAAGAGGATGCTGGGTGCAGAAATGGGCTGTTCTCCTGCTCAGCTCAGGCTGCAGGGGTGGAAAGTTTGGGTGCTCTGAGAACAGCTTTGCTGTGACTGCAGCGTGGGGCTTCAGCTGTCCTTCATGTGATCTCAGGCATCTTCCCTGCTGTATTTTTAGAGCTGTTGTGCAAAGAAGATTAGCAAAGGACTTAATATCAATGTGGATATGGATTCTTTCTCAAATATGGCAATGTTCCCCCTATTTAGGTGATGTGTTTGGGCTCGTGTCACAGTTATATCACCAGGCTGTGCACTGCCATGTACCTCTGCCCTGGCCTCTCTTCCTGCTCCAGATGTTGTTTAGTTCGCTGAAAAAGTGGCTGCACTCATAGTCCTGGTCTTAGTTTTGCTGGATCTAATGACATTTTATTAGGGAGTTTGTTTCCAGCTGAATCAAGTCCCTACTTAGTGGAGAAAGAAGCAAGGAAGTTGAGATCCAGTGGTTTACCTTCAGATGGGAGCCACAGGCACCTGGATTCAGTGGTGGTTTCAGACTGGCTCTTGTGGCCTCTCTGTGGTGAGGGGGCACTTACAGGTGAAGCTGTTCAAGTGAGGCCTTTGGAGGGTCCTGCTCCTAGGAGAACAGCTCTTGTTTGTCTGGAAACTCCCTCAAATGTTGCTGGCACAGCTGCACCCCTGAAAGAGCAGAATCACTGGATAATTTGGGTGGGAAGGGACCTTAAAGCCCATCCAGTCCCACCCCCTTCCATGGCAGGGACATCTTCCACTGTCCCAGACTGCTCCAAGCCCCATCCAGCCTGGCCTTGGACACTTCCAGGGATCCAGGGACAGCCACAGCTTCTCTGGGCACCCTGTGCCAGGGCCTGCCCACCCTCACAGGGAAGAATTTCTTCCTAATATCTGACTTAAGTGTGTCCTCTTTTAGTTTAAGACCCTCTCCCACTGTCCTATCACACTGCCTACCCTTGCTGTGGAGTTAATTGGGGCAGCCTTCTCTCAGGAAAGGGCTTTCAGTGGCATTTTTTGCAAGTGTGTTAAGGGCACATGTATGGAGTGACATGGGACAAACTGCTCAAAACCAGTTGCTAAATATTCTTGTATCCCAGTGGCCTCTGAAGGTGTTCTCATCAGCATGCACTGTCCAACCACTTGGGACTCCAGTAACTTAGAGTGGGTGGCCTGAAGAGATACATTTTTTATGTGCTGGAACAGAAGAGACCAGCAAGGTGAAGGCTTTGGCCTCAGGATAGCCCTGGATGGTGCTTTGGAGTCTGGAGGGTTGGCAGAGGGCAGGTGGGAGCACAGATAGGAGGTGTTGACTGTGCCTGGGCAGGTGAATGGGCTGGCAGGTGCAGGGAAGAGAGCAGGTACTGAGGTGTGCAGCCCTGGAGCAAAGGGTACCAGGAGAGGATGGCTGGGAGTGTCCTGTGGCAATGCCTGACACAGATCCATGAATTCCCATCCTAACAAATAAAGCTGCTTAAAGCAGCGAGTGTGCTTCTCTTGGCTGGAGCCAGGTGGATCTGTGTTAGAAACAGTCACTTACCATTGGAATTCTGGATTTATCTAAGCTGGTTTTGTTATTCCTGTGATGAGGAGTGAAAGTCACGGGTAGAAGGACATGAGAAAAGTTCTCTGAGAAGTGTGGCAAAGCAAGCAGGACAGTGCTGAGGGACTGGGAGAGCAGGGTTTCAAACCTGCGTGCTTCGCTCTGGCCAGGGCTCCAGCTGGCAGCTGCCTGCACTTCCCTCCTGATACTGGAGCAACACAACAATCTGAAATAACTTCTTTCCCGTCCAGAGGTCCAGGAGCAGGAGATATGGAATGTGTCCTTAAGTGCCTGGGCTATTTTGGGAGCAGGGCACATGAATCTGTGCAGGGGCATCCAGGCTTTGCATTGCTGTGCTAACGGGAAGCTGACAGCACAGCTCCAGCATCAATGTTTACTTTTGGGGCAGAGAACTCATGAATATTTTTATTTTTCTGTGCTGTATAAAATGATGGCATCTTCTGGAAGAAGGGAAGATGACAGCAGTTCCTATAGGAATTGCCTTGGAACGATGGTCAAAACATCTTATGATGGAGATGTGGAACTCTGAGAGTCCGGTGGCAGGAGAGCACAGGTTCTCTTCCTGGAACAGCTGCAGTGGAATTCTGGGCAGCTTGTGCAGCTACCACATATTTGCAACAGCAACACAACATGCAAGAAGTTTTTCAGAAATCCAAGGAAAACATTCCATCCTGCAAACATCTTAGAATATAATAAGAGATTAAAAAGTTAGGGAAGGAGCAGCAGCAGCAAGGTACTGTTTGTGCAAGTTAACTTCACTGCAAGTGCCAGCGAAGACTGGATTTCTGCTGGAGCTGCTAAAGAAGCTTTGGGGAAAGGATTTTTCAGAGGGATGTGCTAATTAGAACAGGGAAGATTTCAGAGCCAGGACAGAGTTGTTTTAGAAATGGATAAATTGAGGCAAAGTGAGTAGCCAGTAATTGCTGGTCATACCTTTGATAGTTGAGGGCAACTGAACTGTTGAGAGAACTGTTTGGCACATGACATTTTAAGGCTTCATACAGACAGTATTGACCTAGAGATTATAAAATTCAAGTCTTTAGCCAGCAGAAGTTGGCAGAGCTGTGTTTGCTTTTGCTAGTTAGGAGCTTCCTGATGCTGAAGTGATGATTCCCTTCCTAGTATTCTTCAACAACAGGATTCTGTTACTACTTCATGTGTGAAGGAAAAGTTATGTTAGGACATGCTTGGCTGGTGACCAGCGTGGTGCTGTCCCTGCTTGTACCTGCTCTGCTTTAACTTCATCTCTGAGGAAACTGGGGCTGACTCAGGGTTCGGGGACCTCAGTTTTGTTGGACTTTCACTGTAAGGGAATTAATAAATTCAGAAAGAGTTAAAATCAATTTACCCAGAAGCTGAAATTTACTTTATTTTCACTTCTAGGCCTATGAGAAGCGCTTTCCTACATGCCCAGAGATCCCAGTCTTCCTGGGGAGTGAAATCCTGCATGAATCCAGGAGTGAGGACGGAGCCATCCATGTCATCGAGCGGAGCTGCAAGCTGAATGTGGATGCTCCCAGGCTGCTGAAGAAGGCAGGTGGAACCTTGGGAGAGAGAGGCCTGGATTTTGTTGGCTGGCTCAGATAGATGAAGGCTCCTAAAGTTACTCTTTTCTCTCTGTGTTTCCTCCCTCCTCTTCAGATTGCAGGGGTAGAGTATGTCTTCTTCATCCAGAAGAACACCGTGAACTGGAGAGAGAGAACCCTCCGCATCGAAGCCCACAACGAGACCTTTGCCAACCGTGTGGTGGTCAGGGAGACCTGCAGCTACTCAGTGAGAGCTCTGCTGTGGCTGGCTGTGCTGGGAGGGGGCACTGTGCACTCACACACAGGGTGAAGGTCCCTGAATGGGTTTGGAGCACCTCTGCAACACTGGGCTGTGATTACAGACTCTGGGGCTGGAAAGGCTGTTGGGTCCTGCCTGTGGGTTTGTTCAGTTGCTTTGGAGGAAGGGCCTGGAGAGACAAGACAAGGAGGAAAGGCTTCCCATGGACGAACTGGGCATTGGGAAGGAATTCTTCCCTCTGAGGGAGGTGAGGCCCTGGCACAGGGTGCCCAGAGCAGCTGTGGCTGCCCCTGGAGCCTGGAAGTGTCCAAGGCCAGGTTGGATGGGGCCTGGAACAACCTGGGATAGTGGAAGGTGTCCCTGGCCATGGCAGGGGGTGGGACTGGATGGGCTTTGAGGTCTCAATGATTTTAAAGGTCTCTTCCAACCTAGTGATTCTGTGTGTCCATCCAAAGCATTCTGTGATTTCATATGGCTTGAGAAACTTCCTCAGGTTGATTGTGATTCCCTGCTTGAAGTGAAAGTGGAAAACAGAATTGATGCTCCAGAACTGCTGGTGTTCCCTCAGTTTCTTTTTGATTGAAGTTCAGGCTAACAAAAATATCTAGAGCTTGGGCATGTCTATAAATCTAGATATCTAGAATTAAACCCTTACTCTTCATTATTTTAAGGGCCTGAGTGAAATCTGTCAATTAATTTTGCCCACAAATCAGTTAAAGTTTTAGCACCTTGTTTGCTGTCATTTTCATGCTTTAAAGATTTGGAGAAAGGACTTGAGCCTTGTTTGTGGCCTGGGCTGTCTCCCTTTGTGGCTGTTTCTGTGGTGTTTCACTCTGCTCTGAGGGCCCAGTCACCATTAAATAGCCTCAGCTGTTTCTGGAAGCAATCAGATCCTGCTTGTTGTTCCTTATACAAATGTCCAGATCCTGTTACTTACCTGCCCTTCTGGCAACTTGACAGCACCTCAGCTTCTTGGGAGTAAGCAGACTGTAAAGAGCTTCAGGCAAAAGGAGGAATGGGAAAGCTGTGAACATTTTGGATGGTGAGGGTGTTCTGAGCCAGAGATCCATTGGTGGCTGCATAAGGCTTCCTAAAAACTGCTGTAAATCAAACTTCCATCATCCTCAAAGGTCTGAAATGCTCCCAGGTCAGCTCTGAGATTGTTACACTTGCTGATTTTGGCTGTGTCCTTAGGAAGGAAATGTCAGCATCTGGACTTTGAGGGGAACAGGGTGGGAGCTGCTGGCTGCATCCTCAAGATGGTTCCCTGCTCTATTTTTACCAGTTCCCTTTTCCCTGCCAGAGTGCACCGGAAGCAGGTTTATTCTCATCTTTCCTTTTCTGCAGCACTCTCTGAGGCAACTTGGAGAAATATGATCCTGCTCCTGCAGTTATTTAATATCTCCCCCAGGAATTTGTCTTTTATGCTGTCTTTGTGTGGGGGCTGGAGTTGTTTTTCTTTTGTGTCAGTCTGTGAACAGCAACACCTGCAGAGAGAAGGCAGAGCCTTCTCAGGAAAGGGTTAAGTTTGAAAGAGGAAGAGATTATACCATATATAGAGCAACAGAGGGGAAATAAGGGAAAGGTGTATGTTGAGCAGAAGAGTGGGAAAACTCCTGCTCTGCCACATCCCCAGCATTCTGGGGAGAAGGCTGATGTTAGTCTCCCATCCAAAACTTAAAAAGAAACCTGGTTTGCATTTTTCTTCTTTGCTCATGTAAGAGTTTTAATTGCATGTTCCACAAGGCCATCCCTGTCTTTCCATAAAGAGACCTTGACTTGATGGTTTGAAGTGGGCTGTTCCACTGTTATTTTTGTGCAGCTTTTCCTACTACAGTTCAGGTCTGCTGGGGCAGGGATGGGTTTAAATCTTGATTTCCTTGTGTGTGTGAAGAACGTTGGGTTAGCAAAAGTCTGGATGTCCAGTTCACGATGGGTTATCACAGTGGGAATGAACCTGGCTGGTCAATCCAGGTCTGCAGTGCCTCCTCTGCCCCCTCTCTGTAGCTGTGGAGGTTAAACCACCCCTCCTGTGTGTTCCCCTGGCTGCAGGTTCACCCTGAGAACGAGGAGTGGACATGCTTTGAGCAGTCGGCCTCTCTCGACATCAAATCATTTTTTGGCTTTGAAAGCACTGTGGAAAAAATTGCCATGAAGCAGTACACCTCCAACATCAAACGGGTAAGGTGGGCTTCCCTGGCTGCCAGAACAGCCCAGGTCCTCTATTTGCCTCTCTGTAAACAGACCCAGTGTAGTTTTGTGCCCTTGCTTATGACTCTGAAATCCCTCAGTTGGTCAAAGGAAGGCAAAGCCTGCATGCAAAGAGCACAGAATGATCTGGAATGTGTCTGTGCAGGGATGGGGCAGGCTGTGCCCTGTCAGGAGGATGGCAGTGGGTGCTGTGGGTGCCAGGCTCCTCGGACACTGGGGACACTCTTCTTGTGCAGGAAGGGAAAGTTCTGGGTGAAGATTGCCCCCCGTCTCCAGAGCTTGGGCTTGGGTCAATGGCTCTGGGCTGCAGAGGAACAGGGCAGCTAATTGGGTTTGGGAGCAGGAGGATGGGGTAAAAGTGTTAGAAAGACAGCTGCAGCCATAGACTGGGATTTGCCTGGCCATTATTGTAATTCATCATTCACAGGGGATTTTTCATACTGGAGGTTTTTTGACAGGATCATGAGGATGGAAGGAGAGATTTCCCCTCTCTTTTATCCTTAACACCATTAATCATCTGTCCTGAGGAAACTCCTGTGCCTTGCTGGTTCTGGAGGAGGTTTTTTCCTAATGAGAATTTTCCCCTTCAGGGCAAGGAGGTGATTGAGCACTACCTGAAGGAGCTGATCTCCCAAGGGATCACGTTCATCCCTCGCTGGAGCCCTCCCGCGGTGAAGGAGGAGCAAGCCCCGGCTGTGGGACGGGTCCCTGGTGACATCCTGCTGGATTCTGGGGCTGCTGGCACCAGCAGGGAGCCGGCTGCCAGCCCCTGCCCTCCCCCAGAGGCTGCCAGCCCCGACGGTAGGCACTACCCAAGCAGCAGACTCAGTAGCACTAAGCAAGGAGCTTATTTTCATTTCTCTTGGCATCAGGTTTTTCATCTGGAGTGTGGGGGAGTTGGAGGAGGAGGGAAAGCTATTTTCTTTTTTTCAAGAAAAATAAACAATGGAACTTTTTTTCCCCTAAAACAAAAAAGCTGTGCAGGCAGTATGTTTTGGAGTGTAGAAAAAAATTAGGTTTCATCAGCCTTTTAAGGTATTTTATACTTTAAACTGGAGAAGGTCTCTTCAGTATGCTGGAATTAAATATTTTATCTGTTCCAAAATTAATATTCTTTGGGACAGGTTTGGATGGTTTTTGGCCCTGTATCAGGCCAAGACAAACTTGAGGAATGCCTCCTAATGCATTTTTCCCACAAAATTCCCAAATCAAACTTTCTTTCCCGTGTGTTGGTCTGATGATATCTTCTAGACTAAATAATATATTTCTGCGGCAAAAAGAATTAGGAGGGACCTTTGAATCCGGATCTGCTGTAGTAGAAACAGTTGTTGTCATTCCTGAGAAGGAAGGGCAGCACTTGTTTTGCTGAGTGTAACTAGGGAAAAAGCTTGGAATTTGGAAATATCAGTAGTTCTGCTCTCTCCTGACATTCTCTGTGAGCTTTTCTGGAAAAAGATGGGACTCCACAGAGCAGCTGATTAGAAGAAATGTTTGAGATTAATGTTGACCTCAGAGTGGTGGGTCCAATCTAGCAGAAGAGGAGAGTAGCCCTTATTTTTCTGCCCATATTCCTGTTCAGGATAGGGTTAGCTTCCCTGGGTCTGCTCCCAACTTCTGGGGCTTCCATGGGATGTCTCACTTCCAAATGCAATTTCTGTGTTATCTTGCTTATCCTGTGGGTGTTCAGGCCTCTTTCACTAGGTGATGGCACTTACTGAGAAGCTTGTGCCTGACAGAGCCAGCTCTGAGGTGTCCCCAGCCCTGCTCCCTGTGTCTTCCACCCCAGCTGCCCTGTTCTGCGGGCTGGCAGCTGCCAGCCCTGGGTGGCACATCCCCGTGTCCCTCACTGGTGCTGGCACATCCCCGTGTCCCTCACTGGTGCTGGCACATCCCCGTGTCCCTCACTGGTGCTGGCACATCCCCGTGTCCCTCACTGGTGCTGGCACATCCCCGTGTCCCTCACTGGTGCTGGCACATCCCCGTGTCCCTTGGTGCTGGCACATCCCCGTGTCCCTCGCTGCTGGCAGTCACCAACCCTTTGTCCTTTGTCCCTGAGCTGGAGGAGCCTTGAGCTGCTTGATGTGCACAGGACTTCTCCTCCTGCCAAAAGCCTCCCTGGCTGTCGGAGATGTGCTGTTGTTCTCCCTTTGTCTCTGGTGTCCCTGGGCAGAATAATGGCTTGGTTTTCCAGCAAGCCACTTGTCACTGCAGTTGTGCATGAGATTTAGATGTGAGATGGAAGTGCCCAGGTCTTGGAGCAGTTGGTGAGCTGAGTGCCAGAGCTCATGACAGAGCATTTAAAACTCCTGCTGGTGCAATTCAGGACTGAATGGAATATTGGTGTTCCTAGAGACAAGTGGAGTGATCCAGCTGTGATACAGCATGTACTGCCTGTGGCCTGATGCCCCAGTCACCAGGAGAGTGTCCCTCCTCCCTTCCCTTCCCCCCTTCCCTCCCTCCCACCCACAACCCGCAGCTGGAATGAGGCTCCTGAGCAAATCCCATGTAAATCATAGGGAACCCAAGGTGTAGAAATAACTGCTCACCTTGCTCCTGGCTGTGCCAGTCTGCTCTGAGTTGTTGTTTCCTCCCTCCAGCTGACAAACTGGACGCTGATTACATCGAGCGCTACCTGGGCCAGCTCACCCCGATGCAGGAGAGCTGCCTGATCCGCCTGCGCCAGTGGCTCCAGGAGACTCACAAGGGAAAGGTGGGTAGGGCAGGCACAGAGGGGCATCCAGGGGGAATCCCAGCTGGGATGGGAAACCCTGGCTGCACAAACAACCCAAGAGGCTGGAGTGCCACCACAGGAAGGGACCTGGGGCTCCTGGTTGATGTTGAGCTGAACGTGAGTCAAGCCTGGCAGCCCAAAGGGTCACCATGTCCTGCAGGCACTGTCCTGCTCTACTCTATGCCAGAGTGGCCTCACCTCTAGTCCTGGACACCACAATATAAGAAGGATCTAAAGCTGTCAGAAAATGCCCAAAGGAGGGACACGAGGATGGGGAAGGGTCTGGAGGGGAAGCCATAGGAGGAGCAGCTGAGGTCTCTTGGTTTGCTCAGCTGGAGGAGATGGAGCACAGAGCTCACCAGGGCTGCAGCTCTGATCTCTGCTCTCTGTGACAGGGACAGGAAATGGCTGGAGCTGTGTCAGGGAGGCTCAGGCTGGAGATCAGGAGAAGGTTCTTCTGCCCAGGCTCCCCAGGGAATGGGCACAGCCCCGAGGCTGCCAGAGCTCCAGAAGCGTTTGGATAATGCTCTTGGGGATGCACAGGGTGGGATTGGTGTCTCTGCAGGTTCAGGGGCTGGACTGGATGATCCTTGTGGGTCCCTTTCCACTCAAGGAAATTCTGTGGTTTTCTGATTTTTCCCTGAGAAGCAGCACAGGCACTGAGGGGCAGGTGTGTCTCTACTCTGCTGCAATGTCCAGAAGCTACCTGGCCTCCTTTTGGAGGAAAGTCTCTGTCAGACCAGCAGGGTAACCAATATGTGACTGGGAAAAGAAAGGGTCTAGGGCAGCATGAATGCCTCAAGGGGGTTTAACTCCAGATTTTCTGATGGAGAGGAATTAGGAGGGAAGGAAAGAAGGACCAAGGATAGCACCAGAGAGAGAAGCTGGGTGGGCTGTGTAGATAAAGGGTGCTTGGGAAGAGGAGCTAGTGATCCCCCTTGGAAACAGAAGACACCTGGATGAGGTTTCAACAGTAAAAGCTGCCTGGCTTACAAGGAATCAGCTCAGTCAGGATGGGTTAGGTGAGTTACTTGGCATTCCTGGGTTTGGGAAGATTTTCATTCTCTTTTCTTTACCTGGCCTTTCCAAAAGTGACTGCTGCTTACAAGGTGCTTTGCATGCTGTGCTGTATTTCTCAGAGCATGTCTCATCTGAGTACAGGGAGTCTGAACATGATTTAGAGTGCTGTTTTTGCTAGGAAAAGTGAATGTGAATCACCTCAGTAGAAATAAAATGTAGCTAAGATTTAGTGCTATTGTTCTGCTGCTGTTGAACTCCTGAAGTTCCCTTGTGTGTGAGCAGGCGTGCAGCTTTTGTGGTACCCAGGAATGTGGATGGAGAAAGAGCTCCCAGAAAACCAGAAGAGAACAGGAGGTGTTTGGGCAGTGTGAGAGGCTCCCAGCAGCTGATAAGCTCCAGACACCAACAGTGCTGTTGAATTGTAAGAGCTGATAAATTCCCACCACCAAATATCTGCCAAAGCTGGCCAAGGCCACTGGTGTACAGCAGCATCAACAGTTGGATAACATGGATCAGAAGGGTGGTGGCTGCTGGAGGCAGGTAGAGACAACAGGAATATATGTGTGATATATAATATTGTGTATACATACACTATATATATAACAATATATTATACTACATGTATTTTTATATATATATATAAAATATATTCTTTTTATATATATTATATATAAATATATATAATGTATTGTGTATACATACACACCTGATGCAGCAAAGGGCCCCTTGAAGGGCTGTGACACCTCCCTGGCAGCTGTCCTGGTGTCACTGTGACGTTCTGCCTGTGAGGAAAGAGCTGGGGCTGGGCTCCCATCCAGCCAGGGGGTGGTGAATGAGCTGTGTGAGCAGGAAGGGTTTCACCAAGAAAAGGGCTCTGCTGGAAATTGCTTTAGGTCTGTGTGTGCCTGTGATTCAGCCTCTGGTCAGATGAGAGGCACTGGACAGGCAGGGCTCAGTCCCCAGGTGTAACTGTGCTCTGAGACAGAGGAGGGAGACTTTCTATGGACACTTGAACAGTGAAATGGTGTGGGCTCCATTGGGGTAGGAGACATCTCACCTAGTGGGTCGTGGATGGGAGGACATCCCAAAGACAGGGAGGCTTTGTCCCTGCTGTGACCTGCAAGGATCCTGCTTTCAGCCATAACAGGCACCACCTAAACCTTTGTTTAGGTTGAAAAGTATCAACCCACAGGTTGGTTTTCCTCCCTCCCTCCCTGTCAGAGGCTGGGGAATGGAAGCTGGAGAAGGAAAAGGTGAGAGCACATGAGCAAAATGTGGAACAGCTCAACTGCCCCTTGGGTGCTTGGAGCTGGCAGGGAGTGGCAGCCCTTGTCCCCTGTGCTGTGCTGGGAGCCTTGGGAAGGCACAGCTGAATCCTGAGCTCCAGGAACAGTGGGAGCTGTCTCAGACCTTTGGGTGGCCTTGGTGGGCCTTGTCCCCAGGAGGACATGGGCATGTGGGAAGGGAGGTGCTGGCTACTGAAACTTCATCTTGAACCCCCAGACTGCTCAGCTCTTTGCTTCTCCTGATTCCCTGGCAGTGCAGGCCAAAATCAGGAGCTTATCCTGCAAGGCTGGGGTTTTCCCTGGAGAGGCTCTTACCTTGCTGTGACAATCTGTTCTTTTAATTTGGAGCAGAGATGGCCTTATTCCTCTGTCAGAAATTATCAAAAAATAGATCTCCTGTTTCTTGGAAAATGGCCTTTCTTATTTTTGTCCTCTGTCCTATTTCACTATCCCTTCCCTGTTCCTTCCAAAGCAGACATTACCTTTACAATCAGATATGTTGTAGCTTAAAAAATCTGAGGAACTGAAGGAACAAACTGCAAGAGGTGTTAAAATTGCAGCAGCTTAAAGCTCTGTTCAAGGCTTTGCACCATGCAGGAGAGTGCAAGAGTTTAACCAGTGAATACAAAATCAGCCTGAAATTAAACCTTTGTTTTCTTACATGTGGGAGTTACTGCTTTGGTTGGACAAGGATAAAAGACTAATTCCACTGTGGAATAGGTCTTCTTGGGGCTTCCTGCCTTTGGTCCAAAGAGAAGTGATGGATTTGCCTCCTGCCTGGAGCCCTGTACAAGGGAGGTTTGAAACATGAGAAGTATCAAACCTTCCAGCAGCCATCCCCTCTCCTGCAGAGATCCAGGGGTTGTTGTGGGTGTCTGGGCTGGGTGATGAGTGATGGCTGCCTCTGAGCAGCAGGAACACAAACCTGAATTACCTGGTGAACACTCTGCTGGGTTTAAAATTGCTGTGATACTGAATTGCTCTAAATTCTCCTGAGACCACCCTTGGGAAGGCTGCTCTCTCCTTTCCAGGACACACAGGTGCAGTGTTAGAACCAGTGTTAATCTCCCCCCAGCTCCTAAAGTGCTTTAGGATTGGTTTAGGCTGCTTGAACTCTGCCCCTTCTTGAGGTGAGTCAACTCTTACCATCTCTTGCTTGTGGATCCGAGATTTGCTCCCTCCTGACACAGCTGCCAGCCTTGCTTTCTACCCAGCTTTCTGTTTCCCTGAGCATGGCAGAGGACAAACAAAGGAGCTTTGACTCCTGAACACGGGGGTTTGTGTCCCAGCAGGGCTGGGTTGTGCTAGCACAATATGGATGCTCTGGAAGAGACAATCCTTGCTCCACAGAGCTAGAATTTTTTATGGAAACTTGTAGAGAATGAGGCCAAGCACTTTTGGGGAAGTTGGAGTGAGGGACTGGGAATCCAGCAGCACATGCAACTTTAATCCAGTTGGATTTGCAGCTGACAGGCTCTTAGATTTGGCACGTCTGTGGAATCCATCAGGTTTGTTGTTAATTCCTGCTGCTTGGCATTCCTGGCAAGTTTTCTTTGATTCTTCAGCTAAAGAGAACATGGCAGATCTGGAAGGAGGTTGGAATAAGCCATTCTGCAGACTTGCTTTGGAAAGCATTAGTGCCTGTGATGTCAGGATTACTGCTGGTGCTGGGGTGAGTGATTGGGAGAGGGGGTGTTGTAGTTTGGGTTGATTTGGATCAAGAGTTGTTGTGGTGTGATGGGGCAGGGAAGCCTTTGGTAGCACTCAGCAGCTTTCCTGTTCAAACAGCAGCAGGGCCTGCACAAGAGCTGGAATTGGTACTGGTGGCATCATTCAGCCTGCAGTTGTGATTCCCCTCCAGTGCCTGGTGTGCTCTGTGTTACCTGTGGCTCTTTGTCACCTCTTGCCATCCTGTACTGATTTGTCCCAGGCAGGTGAACCTGCAGCTCCCTGACTTCCACACAGTGTTTTGGAGGTCCTTGTGGATAACAAGCCAAGGGAAACATCAGCCAGCCCAGGGTTTGCTCCCGGGAATTATAGTGGGGATAGGCTTCTCACAGTCAGTGAGTTGGTCCCTTCTTTTGTGCTCCTGGCACCCTCTGCTGCCTCCAGCTGGGTTAGCTACGGAGGGAGGGAGGTGGAAGAGAAGTTTAATGTTTGCTATCTTCATTTTAAGAGATTAAAAAATGGTGTAAACTGTGCAGACTCCTCTGCAGGCCAAAGTGAACATTCCAGCCGTGATCCTGGGACTTTCTCTTCTCGCAGATCCCCAAGGATGAGCACATCCTGCGGTTCCTGCGCGCCCGGGACTTCAACATTGACAAAGCGCGGGAGATGCTGTGCCAGTCGCTGGCCTGGCGCAAGCAGTACCAGGTGGATTTCATCCTGCAGTCCTGGAGACCCCCAGCCCTGCTGGAGGAGTACTACACCGGGGGGTGGCACTACCAGGACAAAGGTGAGGAGCTGCCCCTGGCACAGGCTGGTTCTGGCGCCTCAGCAGTGACCTGGGGTGTTGGAGAAAGATGTACTGACATTGTGTAAGTGAACAAAGCAGTTCAGTGCCTGTGAGTAGCCACTCTGCTTCCCTGTAATTGTATTTCCTCTGCACAGATCAGGCAGTGCAAAGGAATTTATCTGAAAAGGTTGCTCTTGATTTTTATCTTTTTCAAATTTAATGTGGCATTTCTAAAAGATGTGAGTGATAGCCTGGGAGACTAAAGTGCTGCCCTCTCTAAACCCTTTGTTTTGAAGATGGGCGGCCGCTCTACATCCTCCGCCTCGGCCAGATGGACACCAAGGGTTTGGTGAAGGCCCTGGGAGAGGAATCCCTGCTGCGACATGTGAGTTGTGCCTTTGCATGTCACCTGTTCCCCTCAGGCTGTTGGGAAATCTTGTCATGGTGCATCAGGAATCCTGGAATGGTTTGGGTGGGAAGGGACCTTAAAGCTCATCCAGTGCCACTTCCTGACACCTTCCACTGTCCCAGGTTCCTCCAGCCTGGCCTTGGGCACTGCCAGGGACCCAGGGGCAGCCACAGCTTCTCTGGGCACCCTGTGCCAGGGCCTCACCACCCTCACAGGGAGGAATTCCATCCCAGTATCCCATCTATCCCTGCCTTCTGCTTTCTGTATTTTTTTAAATAAGATCTCCAGGCTGTCCTGGTTACTCAGACATACTCAGGCTAATCCCTGTCTGTGCTGTCTTTGATTTCAGGTTCTGTCCATTAATGAGGAAGGACAGAAGAGATGTGAGGAAAACACCAACATCTTCGGCCGCCCCATCACGTCAGTATGGTGGTTTTGATTTTATTATATTCCTGAGTCCTTGCAGACTCACTGCCATGGTTAAGGGTGCTGCTGTGGTTTGGGGTGATGTCCTTAGGGTTACAGTACAGACAGCCGTGTGTGTTATGGTCTGGATGGGGACCACAGATAGATATACATTTATTTGCTGGACTTAAAATGCAGACAAATCCTGCAGTTTCATTGGAAAGCAAGCATTGATCCTTCCTTACATCATTTTCATATCCCATCTCAGATTAGTTTAATCTTTGTGTCTTGGTGATTTTAATCCACATCTTTGAAATTCTAGATTTTTTTTAATACAGGAGCCTGTCTGCCAGATTCCACCTTCATTTAAAACACATTTTTACATTTTTTAGCAATAGTCTTGCATACCTTCACCTTCTTCCAGAGTGGCAGGTGTTCTTGCCCTTGGGGTTGGGTCTGTATTGCCTGGAGCTCACCTGGATTCAGGGGTTCTGCTGCCCAAGTGGAGATGTGCCTTTATTGGAACTTCTCGCGTCCCTTGTTGTATTCCCTGGATCCTGCACAGGCTGTGGGGTTATTGTGGATCCTAAACTGAGCAGCCACCACACTCTAAAGTTCTGACAGGTCTTTCTGTCTGTTTATTTTAGATCCTGGACATGCCTGGTGGACTTGGAAGGGCTCAATATGAGACACCTGTGGCGGCCTGGGGTGAAGGCCCTGCTCAGGATCATTGAGGTGGTGGAGGACAACTACCCTGAGACCCTGGGCAGGCTTCTGATTGTGAGAGCACCACGGGTCTTCCCCGTGCTCTGGACCCTGGTGGGTGAAACCTGGGCTCTGCAGGATCACTGGTGCAGATTCACAAATAGCTACATCAGCAGAGGCAGGGAGGGAAAATCTCCAGGCAACTTGTAGTGAGCTCCTGGAGAAGCCACAGCAGAGCCAGGTCATGGGGTGCCTGTAGCTCACTGCGTTCTGGTGACTTCCATCCACCAGGACAGGATGAGAAACCTGAATGGGAATTCCCCATTGCACCCAAACTTGGTGGGCTTTCATATAGGTAGGAAAAGACAGACACCTTTTAATCTCGTGCCGTAGGACACTGAAGGGTAAAATAAGTAAATAATAAATCTGGTTCTGCCTGGTGCCTGCTGACTGCTCTGGCAATGTGAGAACGTGGTTGTTACATTTCTTGGGAGGTTTGTAGGTGAGGCAGTGACTGCAGACTTCCTTTACATGAAGCAGAAAGTGTTGTGAGATGATGCTACAGAGAGAGAGAACATTTTCCATTTGTTGTGCCTCTCTTTGGGAGGTGCCTCAGAGCTGTGAAGCTGCTGAGATGTTCCAGGCTAGAGGCCAAAGCATCGTCATGAGATGGCTCAGACAGTGTCTCCAGCTGCCCTCAGTGACAGCCGTGTCTCGTGTGCCCTTTGTCTTTCAGGTCAGTCCCTTTATCAATGAGAACACACGGCAGAAGTTCCTCATCTACAGTGGCAATAACTACCAGGGCTCAGGAGGGCTGGTGGACTATGTGGACAAGGATGTGATCCCAGACTTCCTGGGAGGAGACTGCATGGTGGGTTTTCTTTCCTCTAGTGCGGGTGCAATCTGGAACTGATTCCCTCTTCCTCACCACCCTGGCCTTCCACTGCTTTCTGGAAGGGGGTAAGCTCTGGCCAGCATCCCCCTGCTCTGGGCACAGGGCAGTTCATTTGGGCACAGGGGGCTGCCCCCTGCAGTGGTGGTGCTGTCCTGGGGATTCTGGAGCAGGGTCAGAGGGCAGCTCTCTACAGGGAGCTCACATAAACCTTGGCAGTTCCAGTGAACTGTGCAATTCTGGCTCAGGTGAGGGGTGAGCCCATATCTGACAGCCAGCAAGTGTTCCTGCTTCACTTCTGGAACATCCTGAGCCCTCCTGTTTGTCTGTCTGGCCATTGCAGTGCACTGTCTCAGAAGGGGGACTCGTCCCCAAGTCCCTTTACCAAACCGAGGACGAGCTGGAGAACCCAGATCACATCCGGCTGTGGACAGAAACCATCTACCACTCTGCAAGTGTCCTCAAAGGAGCCCCACACGAGGTACAGAGCACAGCTTGAGGTGCTGGGCTGGGACAGTGACCTGTCCTCTCTGCTGGGCCTGACTGCAGCAGCCAGGGGTTCCCACAGAGGGAGCAGGAGAGGGCTCGGCAGCAGCTGCTGTTCCTGCAGTGGAACAGCTGAAGAGTGAGAGTTAAGAACAGCAGTTTGAGCAGCAGTGTCTCATCTCTACTATGGCCTGACCTTCTGTAAGGTCCAGTCTCTTCCTCCTCCCCTTCCTCCTGGGAGAAATAAAGGCCACTCAGTTTCCCTTCTGATAGTTCAGCTCCTGTTCCCAGCAGTGGAGCTGGGACAGTAATGGGGGTGATAAAGGAAGGTGTGTGCTGGGAACTGCTGATGGGAGTGACCAGGAAACAGGATGTCCCAAAAAGGAGCAATTGTCAAATCAGTCTTCTGGCCTCTCTGATGGAGAGTGACTCTGATTTGGCTCTTTGCTGTGTCCTGCTTTGTGCCTCAGTTCCACTGAGGTTTTCCTAGAATGAGTAACTGATATGGGGAGAAAAGGCAAAAACACCTGAGTGGGTGTACTGTGGTGGGGTTGGGAGTGGGAGTTGGTATGTATCCCCCTCAGGAATCCAGACCATCAGCCAGCTGAAGCATTGTGGAGCCAAGTCTGTTTGCCCCAGAGTGGGGAGGAACACACTGCTGCCACCTGAGCACCTGACCCTGCAAGGGGCTTGTTCTGTTCCTTTCTTAGATACTTGTGGAGATCCTGGAAGGGGAATCAGTCATCACCTGGGACTTTGACATCCTGAAGGGAGATGTGGTGTTCAGCCTCTTTCACTCCAAACGAGCTCCTGAGCCAAGTCACAAAGAAGCCACATCACCAAGTCCCTCTGCTGCAGGGGACAACGTACAGCTCATCGACAAGAGCTGGGTGCTGGGGGTGGATTACAGCCGGGTGGAGTCTCCTCTGGTCTGCAGGGAAGGAGAGAGCATCCAGGTCAGAGGGGTTTGGGTCCTGCCATGGGTTCAGAGTCCTGCAAACTCCAAATTAATTAGATGGTAGGGAGGGAATTGATGGTGTGGGAAATCAGATACTGCTGGAAGTGGGGGCTGTGTTTATTCCCAGCAGCAGAGAAGGGGGAATTCTGCCCTCTCAGGTGAGACCCCACCTGCAGAGCTGCCTCCAGCCTTGGGGCCAACAGCAGCAGGACGTGGAGCTGCTGGAGAGAGTCCAGAGAAGGCCATGGAGATTCCCCAAGTGCTGGAGCCCCTCTGGAGCCAGGCTGGGAGAGCTGGGGGTGCTCACCTGGAGAGGAGAAGGCTCCAGGGACACCTCAGAGCCCCTTCCAGGGCCTAAAGGGGCTCCAGGAGAGCTGCAGAGGGACTTGGGACAAGGGATGGAGGGACAGGACACAGGGAATGGCTCCCAGTGCCAGAGGGCAGGGATAGATGGGATATTGGGCAGGAATTGTTCCCTGGGAGGGTGGGCAGGCCCTGGCACAGGGTGCCCAGAGAAGCTGTGGCTGTCCCTGGATCCCTGGAAGTGTCCAGGGCCAGGTTGGACAGGGCTTGGAGCTTGGAATAGTGGAAAGGGGTGGAATAGGATGAGCTTTGAGGTCCATTCCCACCCAAACCATTCTGTGATCATTTTGTTGATACCCAAAGAAAGTGGGAAATCCTAGAGTGAGTCATTGGGAAGAGACTCCAAGCTAAAATTCTAATGGAAAGTAAGCTAAATAAGCTGCTTTTTTATTTTTTTATTTGCTACTGGTACTACAGGGCTATGTCTCAGGCAGGTGAGACAGGTGAATGACACCTGTGCTGGGTCATTCAGCCATTCCCCAAGACACCTGTGCTCACTTGCTGTCCCTCCCTCCCTCTCTGCAGGGTTCCCATGTCACTCGCTGGCCTGGCTTTTACATCCTGCAGTGGAGGATGCACGGGCCCCCGCCCTGCTCCAGCTCCAGCCTCCCACGCGTGGATGACGTCCTGGCCTCCCTGCAGGGCTCCAGCCACAAGTGCAAGCTCATCTACTACTACGAGGTGCTGGCCTCCAAGGACTTCAGGTAGGGCATTTATAAGGGGTTTACTACAAGTTGCACTGAGTGTGGGTTAAACATGTGAATATCAGAGACCTTCACAGGGTGTGTTTCACTGACATGTGGATGCACACAAAATTGGTGGCATTTTGTGTAACCAATCTCCTCTGGTGTTGTAGATTCCCTTGACTCTGTGTCCACCAGTGGAATTTGTGCTTTGGGTCTTACTTGCAGCTGCCTGAAGAGCAGAAGGTTTTAGACTCAGGAGGGTTTTTATCTTAGTTGGGAATATTTTGAGAAGTTGCTTTTGGAGTATTTTAAATATCAGCTGGGCTATTTCCCCCAGATGATTTTGTTTGGCACTTGAGAAGGATGAGCAGTTCTGAACAGGTGAACAGCCAGCCTTGGCAGGGTGTGCCTGGCCTCCTCCTTCAATCCCATCTCCTGTTAATCTGAGCTCTGTGGGAGTCCTTGAGCCTTCCCTGGAGCTGGAGGGGGCATTGGGCAGAACAGACTCGAAGGTGGTGAGCTTGAGGTGTGACCTGGCCAGGTCCTGTGGGCTCAGAGCAGCAGAAATGCCTCATTCCAGTCGTGCTTGTTCCTTGGGGCTCTTCCTGAGCTTGTCCTCCTGCTTTTGGCAGAAAGAGCTGAGTTGGAACTCTGCTGTTCAGCAGCCTGGAGTCCTTGGGTTTACAAGGCTGCATTTGGAGTGCTCTGGAGGTTTCCTTTCTCCTCAGGGACAGTTCCCAGAGGCTCCAGCTGTGTCCCCTTCCCCAGAACAATAGTCTGAGACAAGGGATAATATCTGTAACTGGGAAAAAATGTCTCTGACTGATTAATTTTTCATCATGACACAGAGATTCTTAGAGAGCAGGTGGGAAATGATGGGCCAAAAAGCACTTGTCTAAGTGGTGGAGAGGGGGAGCTGATCTGTGGGAGGAATAGCTGTCCCTTAATTGCTGCCTTCCTAACAGCACATCTGTTCTGTCCCATCCCAGGGGATCCATGTCGAGCCTGGAATCTTGCAACAGTGGCTTTTCCCAGCTGAGTGGAGTCACCACATCTTCCAGCCAGTCCCAGAGCAGCTCCCACCTCTCCAGATAGCAGAGAGCCAAGGCTTCAGCAGCAGGGGGACCCCTGGGGCTGCTTCAGCCCCAAACCAAAGAGCTCCAGGGCTGAGCCTTGGGGCAGTCACAGCCATTTGGACACAGAGAGGTCTCTGGGAGCTGCTTCAACCACAAAAGCTGAAATTCCAAGGGCAGCTTTAGGAGTTTTGGGTCAGCTGCCTCCTTCTCAGTAGCCTCCTTCACCACTTTGGATTTTGGGTGCCTGTGAGTTTGCAGGAATCCATTCCACTCCACTCCAAAGGGCTCTTCCCATCGGTCCTTTTCCCACAAAAGAGGCTGATGTTGCCTTACCTGTTGGACCTTTAGATAATTCCTGGGTGGCAAAACTAAGGGAATGTCCTGGGTGCCCACAGGGTACTGGTTCCACACTAGACAGCCAAGTGGGCATTCCAGGGGCAGGGCCTTGGAAGGAACTGCCAGTACCTGGTTACAGGTAGGACAGTTCAGAAATCACTTCCCAGGCCAGACCAAAAACTTCTTCTGGTCTGGCAGGATGCTCTGGGAAATGTGTTGGATTTTTTTAACCCTGCTAAAAAACAAAGTCAAAATTACTTTTTTTTCAGAAATTCCAGGCGTTGAATCTGCCTCCAGTGAGTGGCATCTTCCAAACTATTGATTCTTTTTACTCAGGTTTACAGCAATAATGAGTAGGTCTGTCCCATTCCCGAGTGGATGGGAACTGAATCCAGTACTAAAGGGCTAAGAAAAGCAATATTTGATTTCCTGAAGGCACAAGATTTTCTGGCAGTATTACAGCACTCGCTTCTTTTAAACATGAGCTCACTTGAAACCTTTCAGAGAGGAGTGTATGTATGTAAGCACTTACTGGAGCCTATTTATTCTATACTAGCGTATTTTAAATTAATTCTTAACTTATTTATAATGTCAGAAATGACTATTTATTAAATACAGTCACCTTTTTTAATGGGATGAACTTTGTTTTAGAAAGGAATAACTGATTGTCTTCAATCCCAAGCAGTCTTTCTGCTTGGGTCCAGATCTTTGTGATTCACTGCATGTTCTTGCAAAAGGGCTGCATTGGAATAAGGGCTGTGTCACCTTCCTTGCAAGGAAAGGTGAGAGTCCAGTGCTTTTTTTGGGCAGTTTTTTAGGATTAAGAAACAAGGACTGAGTTCAGGAGTTGTCATGAAGAGGCACCGTCTTCCTACACACCAAAAATGCCATGTTTGTCCCTAATCTTTGATTGTTCCTTTAGTCAGGTTGGGGAGCAAAGTTACCCATGTTCTTGTCCAGGTGAAAAAAAAAAGGAGAGCAGGTGTCAAACACTCAGCAAGTTTTTATTCAGGAATCTGTGAAGTTGTTCCTTCCTGCCCTGCTTTTTGTAATCAATGCTTTTGAAGCACCAGGCTCTGCCAAAGGAGAAGAGAGCCAAAATATTTGGGACAATGAGAGACAAAGAACTTGACATGGTTTTCAGTTGTTTGGTGGGGTTTTTAAAGGATTGGAGCCAAGGGAATCACTGTCCACCTTGCATCTCTCCCTGTGAACAGGTAATTTGGTTATGTAGAGCTCAGGAAAGTTCTGATTTCCAATTCTCAGTTGTTCCATAAACCTTAATATTTCTCCCAGGCAAATGAAACTTTTGTCTCTGGCATTTCAGCATAACTGGCATCTGATAAAGGAGGACAAATACCACCTTTCCTCTGGAAAGTCAGGAATTCTGGAAGCAAAAGTGCATCTGTGTGTATCCCTCATGGAAAATCCTTGACCTACAATAAAATCTGATTCTAGAAACAGTTTCAGATTCCCAAAGCCCCAGGAGCAAACCCAGCCCTGCCCCCCCTGTGCTGTTTCAGGATTTTGCTTGCCTTTCTCACATGGTTGCTCACATCCTACAGTGGCAACATTCCTGTTCCCTGGGTAAGAATCTCTTCCTTTACCCTGTTTTTTAAATTTTATTTTGAAATGTGGGATATGCTGTTTTCTGCCCACTAGAAGTTTTGGGTGTTTAACTTTTGTCAGTGAAGCACCTGGAACTTGGTCAGTCTCTGAAGAGTGAGGTCAAGGGCTGGTTCCACAGGGTGTTCCTGGCTCTGGGGATATCCCAATCCCAGTTTTTCCTCTTGTCCCTTGGCAGGACCATTCCTCTGCCCATCAGAGATCATGGCACAGGTCTGTGAAGCAGCTTGTGCCCTCTCTTTGGCAAGGCTGCCTGGTTTATCCCACCTGACAATTTACTTTGAAACCAATTTAAATAATCCAGTATTTTTTTTCCCTTTTCCTCCTTGATGTTAACAGGAGAAAGGGAGCAACAGCCTGGATGCTGTGCTGTGCTTTTTAAACCTGACCTTGTGAACTGCAGATACCAGAGACACCAAATTCTTCTACATCACCTTTTTCCTCCCTCAAATGACATCAATGCGCTTTAGAAAATAAACTCAGAGTTTTCTTCACAGAGAGCTGAGTCTGGGAGGGGTCCTGGACCCTCAGAAATCTCCTAAGGCACAACCTTGGCCCGTGGCCTCATTTTGGGTGATGCAGCAAAGCCCTTCCTGCTCCCTCCCTGCTCTGCAGCGAGGCCAATGAGCTTGGGCTGTGTGCAGGGAAGGAGCTGCTAATTAAAAACTGGCTCCCAGTAAATTTGGGCTGTCCCTGGTTCAGATGTTCCCTATGCAAACACAACACCTACCTCAGAGCTGCTGTGGTGTCTCGTGGTGCTGGGGGAGTGCAGGATGCTGTGCCAGAGGTTGCAGTTAAATACAGCCAGATGTGACACCTTCATTCCCAGGGAGCTCTCCGGGTTTGCCCCATTCCCTGGGCTCTGTCCCAGGGCAGGGAAGGGCAAACACAGAGTGTGAGGATGGATGGTGGCTGGCCTCAGCTGTCGTTCAGGGCACAATCCTGAGCCATTCTGCTGCTCTTCTGGTGTGAAGAGGGCTTTGTCCCCGCTGAAGGAGAAGGGCTGAGCTCCAGCCCCGCAGGTGTCACCTCTGCCGGGTGCCAGGGGAGCGCTGAGCGCCACCACTGGGGGCTCTCCCAGGGAGGCACCGGAGCAGCCCCGTCCTTCCTCAGAACAGAATTCCCAACAGGCCAGGGAATCCTGAGTGACTGAGAGCAGCTGTGTTCCTGTGCTCAGCCAGCTCAGTTCTGTCCCTTCCCTTCCAGGAACTGTGAGTAACAATTTGTAATCCCAGTTTGGTTTATTGGCAAAAGGCTTTGAAAATGCCACAATCCACTCGCAATTCCCAGTAGGAAGTGGCAAGCCCAGCTGTCCACCACACTGGGCTGGGAAGCTGCTGGGGCTGAGGCTCCAGGCAGGGAATCCCTCATTTCAAAAGGCATTTTATAAACTCACACTGCTTTAATATCCCAAATGTTTGCACTGTGAGCAATTAATGCAAGGAACAGCTATTAGGGACTTACTTGACAGCAACTGTCAAAGATTCCTGCATGCAATTAACTTTAATATTCCTCCAACACGTTTGTGATGCTCCTTATATCTGATTATTTCTCTCTTGGAAGGTGAAATTGGAGTCAAGTCACATTTACTGGATTTTAATGACACCAACACCCACTTCCAAGCTTTCCGTTACACGTGTATTAAATGGGCATTAATTAAGTTTTTTAGCAGCACTTTCCTTTGCAGCTGGCTTTGGTTTTATACATTGAAATCTTAATTTTTCTCAGCCAAAACCCCCAAACCTCCTGTAAAAGCCCACTGCAGGGCACTGAAATAACAGATGTCCTCCAGTGGTGTTTGTGGGTCCTGGTAGCGCTGTACTTTTGGGTATGTGAGAAATAAAACATCTCTGAGAACATGTGGACTTGTTTGATTCAAACTGTTGATTTCAAACTTGAAATTGCAGGACAATTAAAATTGAAGCCTGTGTGCTGCTCTCTTGCCCCCACAAGTAGAAGTAAGGCTTGTATTCACTTTTTGCTACTTTTTAACTAAAACGTTTGGGCTTTCTTCTACAGTATCAGCATCTTTTGTTTAGTTTCCTAGCACAGAGTGGGCTGGAGCAGCACATCCTACAGTGTGGGTGTTATTAAAAAGGAAAGAGCCCCTGGGTTCCACTGGGTGGCTGAGGTTAAACTGGGAAAGGATCAGCTCCTTCTGCAGCTGCACATCACAAATTCTGAGTTTCAGGCACATAGCACTAATAGACTTTATTCAAGTTTCAAGTAATGTTCTGTAAATCATAGAAAAATAGAGTCTCTTGGTTACAGGCTGATTTGATGCCAACACTGGCACAGAAATTACACATCCTTTACTTGGAGAGGTAAAAAAGGAGTGAATGCATAAAAATGTGTGGGGCTCAGACAGGCTCTCACCCCTCTGCAGCATCCAAGGGGCTCGTCCAAGGCTGGGTCTTCCCTCACAGGGAAGCAAACTCACTGTTTTCATGTAACTGTGCAAGGATGTGTCCCAGATTTCCAGGAGGTGCTGAGGAGCCTGACTGTGCTGGAGATCTTGCTGGTCCCTCTGAGGAGTGCCGAGCTGGGGCAGGGCAGCCCAGTCTGTGTCATGCCAGCCCTGCCAGGCTGTCCCTCTCTGTGCCCCTCCCCACAGGGACAGCTCCAGGCTCTGTCAGTGCCCACAGAGCCGGGCAGAGCCTTTGGCCCCTGCAAGTTGGAGAGATGCACAAATGGAACCTGGGATCTGGCAGAGCTTTTTGTGGTGCTGTGCCGCAGGAGCTGTCCCAAAACACAGCACTCATCACCCCCTGGGGCTGCTCTGGCCTGAGGATTGGTCAGACAACATTCCAGCCCTGCACAGGGCTGTCACAACCCTGCGTGGCTGGGAGAGGAAGGCTCTGCTGGCACTGGCGGCTGCAACTTCTTCAACATTTTGGAACTTTTTGTCACTTTTCTGATTAAAATCTGAGCTTAGCAAGGAAGGGCACGCATTGACTGTAATACCCTTAAGCCCAGCTTTGTACTAGAGGCAGTTTAACTTGCATCTTAAAAAGCACTGCTTGGGTGAGCAGGGATCTTTCTGAAGTACCTGTAACTTGCATCCCTCACCTGTTTTGCTCAAGTTTTGGGAGGAACCAGCCCCTCTGGAACCTGCAGCTGTGTAATTCCCTGACCCAAGGGATGTCCTGCATCCCCTAATGCTGTAGTTCTGGGTGCTGGGGCAGCAGAGGAAAGGAAACCACAGCCCCAGCCGGGCAGTTCTTGGGCTGAGGCTCCTCAGACATCAGTTTGAGGTTTGCAGTGGGAACAGCCCCAGTCCCAGTCGGTGCTGAGGGGCAATGCAGGGTGAAATACCTCATCCCATCCATGACTCTAAAGGAACTCCTGGTTTGGCTCCTGAGTGTCCTCAGGCTCCTGAACATCCTCCTGGTCCCAGGCAGCAGAGGTGGAGCTGTGAGGGGTGTCCCCGTTGATGTCCCTCAGGGGGAGGTAGCGATAGTCCCGGTCCTGGTGCTGCCGTCCCCGCAGCACCAGCCCCACGTTCCCCAGGACACTCAGCACAAGCAGCAGGGCCAAGGCAGAGCTCAGGGACAGCCACCAGCTTCTGTGGGACACACAAATCACATCACCAACAGCTCACCTGTGGCACACGTGCCCACTGTGCAGAGGATTGTCCCTTCTCTGTGTTCCCAAGCTTCTGGCCCTGCTCTCAGGCAGGAGAGAAACAGGGAATCGTTCAGGTTGGAAAAGCCCTCCAAGATCATCGAGTCCAACCATTAACAGTGCCAAGGCCACCACTTACCCATGTCCCCAACTGCCACATCCACACAGCTTCTAAATGCCCCCAGGGATGGGGACTCCACCACCCCCCTGGGCACCCTGTACCAGGGCCTGACCATCCTTTCCAAGAAGGAATTTCCCCAATATCCAAACTAAACCTCTCCTGGCACAACCTGAGGCCATTTCCCCTTATCCTGTCCCTGTTCCTGGGAGCAGAGTCCGACCCCCCTGGATGTCCCCTCCTGTGAGGGAGTTGTGGAGAGTGAGGAGGCCCCTCCTGAGCAGACTGAACACGCCCCCCATGCTCTGTGACAGCCCTTGAGGTGCACAGAGAGCACCGCACACTTACTCTGACAGAGAGAACTTTTCTTTGCTCTTTTCTTTTTTCTGGGAAGCCAAACACTGTCCAGCTGGAAAACAGAAGGAAGAAAGGTGGTGCAGAGTTTAAAATTCCACTAAGAAGAGCAAAGTTAAGCAGAGCTTGTGACTAAGCAAACATCATTATTCACTAAAGGTACTGTCCCAGCTGTTTCCCAAAGCCCAGCCCCCTGCAGCCGGTACCTCTGTGTAAGTGGTCCTGCAGTGCCCCGTGGTGGCTGATGTTGCAGCTGCCCGTCTCGGGGTCACAGGGACACGAGTGGTCACACGCACAGCGGCTCTGGCAGCTCGGCCCAAACCAGCCCAGGGGACACTCTGGGGATGGGATCACAAAGGGATTGGTCATTGCCAAAGCTCCACCTGCTCTGAAGCTGTGGCTGCAGCTCCCTCAGCTCAGCTGAGCCTGCAGCAGCCTGGGAGCACCATGCTGGGAGTTCAGGGCTGCTCTTTGGTGTGCCTCAGAGGGGATTCTGTGTAAAACTGGGATCACAGAATCATGGAATGGTTTGAGTTGGGAGTTTAAAGCTCATCTTGCTCCAACCCCCTGCCATGGGCAGGGACACCTTCCTCTATGCCCCAAGCCCCATCCAACCTGGCCTTGGACACTTCTAGGGATCCAGGGCAGCTACAGCTTCTCTGGGCAGCATCTCTGGGATGGGATTGGCTGAGTGTTCCCAGGCTGGAACAGAACATCACTGACAGAATCAGCCAGCCAGGAAGCTCACACCCCACTGTAATAAACTCATTCACTCAGATACAGGGGGGCCTGGGGTGGTTACACGAGGCAGAACAGGGCCAGCTCTGCTAGCACTGGCACAAGGAGTGTGAGAGTGGGATGGCAGGACAGCCCTCTGGAACATTCCACAGGCACTGACCTGCAGCACCTGAAGCACGGGCTACAGCAGGGTCTGGTGCAACACCCTGGAGCAGAGGATGTTTTGTGCTCACTTAAGGGCTGTCAGAAAATAATGCAATTCTTTGGAGCTGAGACTAACCAGGAATCCACAATTTTCTGTTGCTGAAGCAAATTCCTCTTTCCTCTCTGCTCCTTCCTCTCCTTTTTAGCCCATTTGGGTAGGCAGGCAGGCCCAGAAGAGCTCTGGGGCAGAGCTGAGCAATCCCAGCACTCAGCCACAGCTCAGGATGTGCAGGGATGCTCAGCAATGAGCTGAGTGTGTGTGCCCTGAACAAGGAGCAAGGGCTTGAGTGTCCCACACCAAGCCAATTGTAGATGCTCCAGCTGCAATTAAACTCACACTGCCAGAAAAGAGCAACCCAGTCCACAGGGTGGCTTTTCCCTTCCCTGTTCCCCTGGGGCAGGCAGCTGTTGGAAAGTGGCTCCCAGTCCCCTCTCCCAGGCTGTGAAGAGGCAGTGGAGTAGCAGTCAGTATTTACCTTCAGTGCAGTTGCTGCCAGTCCAGCCGGCGTCACACAGGCATCCAGCTGTGCAAACAAATGCAACAGGCATTACTGACAGCAAAAAAACACTTGCAAGCAGCAAGGACTTGAAATTAGGAGCCTCTGTCTCTTGAGGTGACCTCTTACCCCTGCTAGCAAACCCCCAGAGGAGAAACCTGCGTTCACACAAAGGGTGGGCTCACACACACCCCCCCTCCCCAGCTGCCAAATGCAGCAGAATCCCTGCTGATGGCATTCCCTGGGATCAGCTCTGGGTCAGCTACTGGCAACACCTGCACCCACCAAGCTCTTCCCAGCCACTGCACTGGGACACACTTGAAAAAGAGTCAAGACAGGAAGAGGGTAACGGGACTGGGCACGAGGGGCAGAAGCTGGGGGCAGCCATTCCAGCAATCCCCAGGTTCAGATTCGTAGAAAAGCAGCAACTGCACCCTTGTAAAAGTTATGAAGTAGGAAAGGCAAGTGAAGAAGGAACAGTAAGGGGAGGGGACAGAAGCAGCTGCTGTCACACAGCAGAACACACAGCCCTGCCCATCAGCAGCCTCACAAGAAACCCAGAGCACAACCCTGGGGCAGAAAGGGAAACCGAGGCACGGAGCTTGCACACAGCCAGCCCTGAGCCCCAGCCCAGCCCTGCTGCCGGCTCCTCAAGGCAAGGTGTTCTGATCAGGAGAGGGGAAGCAGCCCCACCCACCCAGCTGGTACCCGGCAGGCAGGCAGGATATTCCCCAGGGCTATTCCCCAGGGATGCACGGCCAGGCCGTGCTCTCCCTGCAGCGCCCCTCGGTGTCAGCCCGCAGGGACTCACAGGCGCTGCAGACGCCGTGCAGGCTGCAGTTGGCAGGGCCGCAGTCCAGGGTGTCGCAGGCAGGACCTGCCCAGAAGGGGCCGTGGCAGTGGCACTGGCCGGACACGCAGAGCCCGTGGCCGCTGCAGTCGGGAGGGTCACAGCCCGGCTCGTGCACACACACCACCGTGGAGATGCTCCGGGGACACCGCCACATGCTGTTGAAGGAGCTGGGACAGCAGAGGGGACAGCAGAGGGGACAGCGTGAGCTGAGCCAGCGCTGCCCTGCCCAGCCCAACCCAACAGCTGTTCTATAACCCAGAGATTTCCTCCTGATCCACGCTGGCAAACGGGAACATTAATACTGGGAAAATATAATAATAAAATCACATTGGAGTCAGTGTTTTAACTGAGTTATAAATCCCATCTGATAGGTATCATTTCAAATATGGAATTACAGAAGCAACACAGTCTCCCTTAAAGCAGTCCCAGCTTCCCTCATTTTGGCACCCAGCAGACGTTTTCTTGAATGTTTTTTGCTTTGATATAAATTATATCACTGTAGTTATGGCAACTGAATGTTAAATCCCTTCATGTTTACAGTCAGAACTGAGTAAAAGTTGAATTTAAAACAAAATATTCTTTAGATTCCCTCCAATGGGGCAGGGCAGG